CCCAGGGAGTCAGCCTGCCAACCTGAGGCTGCTCCAACCCAGCTCAGTGTGCTGTGGAGGGACTGGCTGGGGCACAAAGGTGCTTCAGTGCAGGGCTAGCTGGCAGGCAGTTCCCACACTGAAGCACCCTTGTACCTCTGGCTGTGTCCGCACCTACATGTGCATTGCTGAGAAGTAAAAAACTCCATCTTAGGATAGCAAGTACTAACCTACAGCAGAGTTAATTAGTTTTATTGTGTCCTAATAGCACTGCATGTGTAGATGCTGAGATGTTTACTGAAGAGCTAATTAGCAACTGCGCAATAAATGTCTTGTGTAGACATGCTATCTGTCTCTAAATCTATTCAAAACCCTATTACAGAGGCAGGAAAAGTCCAGCCATGGGCTGGATCCGGCCAGCCATGGACTCCATTTCCCAGCAGCCCCTGCCCACATGGAGAGCCCTTGGGGTCTGTGATAGCATAAGGCTGGAGTTGCCATGGAGACTGGCCTCAGCTGTTCTGGCAGGGTGAGCGGTAGGACAGGGCAGGGCAGGGCAGGGCTGCTCCAGACCCCTGGGATCTTGCGGCAGGGGCAGCTTGGTCCAGGGCCAGGGCATAGCCATGATCTGCAGCCTGCACGCTCAGGGAAGGGGTGTGCAGGAAGTGGATTGCTGCTTTACCCCAGCTTGGGACCACGCTGTTACCGCTGCAAGGAGCCAAGGCAGAGCTACAAACTGTAGCCTGCACACTCTGGGCAGCGACATGCAGGCAGTGGATCGCAGCTCTGCCCCGGCTTCTTGCAGCGGTGACAGTGTGGTCCCCAGCCGGGGCAGAGCCGTGATCTGCTGCCTGCATGCCCCTGCCCCAGGCATGCAGCCTGCAGATCATGGCTCTGCCCTGGCCTCAGACCAAGCTGCCCCTGCCACAAGATCCCAGGGCTCCAGAGCAACCCCCTGCCCTGCACTCCACACACCCTGCCAGCATGGTTGAGGCTGGTCTCCATGGCAACCCCAGCCTTGCACTATCACAGTACAGCTGCAGCTGGGGCCTCCATGGAGACTGGCCCCAGCCATGTGGGCTGGGGCTGCTGGGAAATGGAGTCCGGCTACTGGCTGGATCCACCATTTTGCCCACCCCTGCCATATTCCCTTTGCATGTGTTTCCCATGGACAGTACTGCTGCTGACATACATTATGCAAGAATTGCCACAATGTCGTATTTTGTTTATAACTGGTTTCTTTAAACCAAGGCTTAACATCCACTGTCACATGCCATTGCCCAGGGCATTCTAACTCAACATCATGTAAACTGCAGCATCCAAAAGAAAAGGATCTTTTTTTTTCTTTTTTCCCAATAGACAAGAAACTTCTATGTGAAGTCACAGTATTTCCTAACAGATAAAAATTGAACTTAAATGCAGCATACATCAAGGTAATAACTGACTCTTGTGACAAGCCAGTGAATAGGGCTCACTAAAGTACTCTTCTTTCTCTCAGCCTGAGAGCTTTACTGATGGCAAACACTTTTAGTATTGTTGTAATACAAAAATGTTCTAACAAAGGTGCTTATAGCCTATACTAGGAATGTAGTTCAGTGGGACTCAAAGCACCTTTTCAGTGCTGTTAGTGACAGGGAGAGTGCTGCATGAAATCCTTATTGACAAAGCCCTCTGTTCTACATGGTACACTGCAGCATTTATGCAGCATAGATCCCAGCTTTATGCAGCAAACTCCCCAGGTTTCCATGTTTACAGGGGTATGGTGGTAGCTGTGTGGACTAGGCCCAAGTGTCAGTGAGGATGAGAAGCACAGGCCGGTATGTGTTTGCCTAGTATTGCCTCTATGTTCCTCTAGGCAGGCACATTTTTTTCAGTAGGCAGACAGGGGCTGAAGGGTGGCATAGGTTGTGGAGGAGACACAGCAGGGATTAGTGGGAGAGAGGAGATAAAACAATTTAGATTGGCTTAGAGCTGAGAGCCATTATAATTTAATCAGGTTTGAAAACTTTAGGCGATTAAAGCAGCAGGAGCCCTAGAAGGGAATAGGAGACCTCTTGCTCTCCTCTTGACCCAGGCCGCCACAGGCTCCTAGGCTGCAGCCTGCTGGAGGTGCCCACCTTGTAGAGGTTGGACCCCCAAGGGCAAGTCTCCCTCTCCTTCCTGTATATTCTTCAGCCTTTGAAATTCCTGCTCAGTCCTCCAGTTGTCAGCCCTGCAGAGCTGTTCATCTATGAAGACAGGCAAAATGCTAGGCATAGAAACAGCAAAATGCTGAAGTTGAGGTACATGTAGACTTAATTGGCCTCTGAGAAAAAAGTGAAACAGCAGTAGCTGACCCAGCCATAGAACTGCATAAACCATGGGACTCTTAGTTCCTTTCCCATGACTGAGTTGAAGTGTCACAGAAAAAAAATCCCAATCATTCTTCCACTTCAAGGCCTATCCTTGAAGTATTTTGATGGTCAGAGCTGTGTTTTGTTATGAGAGGCCAAATTAATCTTTGTTGTAATTCTACTGGCTTCTATTTATGCCTCCAGAAAGGAGTAGTTCCAAGAGGATATTGACTGCCTTAGCTAATAAGGTATATCTCAAAGTATAAGTATTAGCATAGCTCTTCTATTCAAATATTTTAAAGTGCTTTATGAAGATTAAGGAACTGAGACTTATAATATCCCTATGCAAGATGTGGTTAAAAAATTCCTGAAAATATATTTACTGATTTTTCCTGGTAGTTCCAAAAACCTACCAATAATAATTGTGCAGCATTTTCACTGCTCACAGACTTTGATACACCCCAACTCAATCTGTTTTTACTATAATTTGGTGATCTGTTATCCATTATCTCAGGAGGGAAAAGATCATTCATTTTCCTGACATGCACTGAACGCTTCAGTGTTGGCTCTTACCAGATATCCAACTCAGAGGAATAATCAGTGGCTCCAAGTAGCACATCAGGAGGACGATACCAGAGCGTCACCACCTCACAAGAATATGTGTGACTAGGGATAGATTTGGCACGGGCCAGACCTGCCAACATACAAAAAACATGGCTCGTTACATTTCTTGGCCCTTTAAAACCAATTGTGACTCCACTAACCCAACGTGTTTTTTTTTATAGACAATCTACAAACTTTTTAGTGACAATCAAAGTTTATTACTATGGTTGATGTTAAACCCCTAAATTTGAACACAGCCCTTGTTAATCCTGTGCAGGTCCTGGCAGAAGGGTTACATTTACATTATATAAAACATTTATCAGTAAAAAAAAAAAAATGTTTGGTTATCAGTTAAAAGTTTGCAGATTGTTAGTAAAAAATGTTCTTGGGTTACCAACCCTAGATGGGAACATGATAATCCAGGAGTTATGGAGGGACTAGAGGGATGCAGGAGGGTGCAACAAGCTTGGTGTACAGAAGCTATGAATGGTTAGGGCCTCTGGTTTGTATAAATGCTACTTACATTTCTAAAGTTAAATGTTGAGTTTTTTTGTACAAGGCCTGCACCATCAGATATTCAACACTAAAATAAACCAGTCTCATGACAACACAGATAGAGAAAAGGTCCAAGAAAAAGTAAATAATCAGTAAAACCCTCTTATAATAGAGGTTGGTAGCCTATAGCCTACAGGCCACATGAGGACCGCAGAGAGGTCTGATCTGGCCTGTAAAAGTCTGATCCAGCACTGGGGATCAATGGTAGAGTTGCACTATACCACCCATCTCCCTCTGCTGGACTGCCCTTGGCTGTGGAGCCTACTGCTCTAACAATAAATATGTGCTTCCCTCACTGCAGCAAGGGTGAGTGCAAGCAGCTGCCTATTTTGGGGGTGAAGACTTCTGCCCTGCAGTCACAGCCCAGCAGCAAGCTCCAGCTTACTCCAGCTGAAGGCTGCCAACCCCTGCACAATTATGCTGGTGTGGAATTATTAGCACACATTTGGGATGATTTACTTAATTCAGTCTCTGCTTTGCCACTTGTGAATAATGCAGCTATCCCAAACCCCTGACAATAAATGTTTTACACTGCACAAACCATCATGTATCCTGTATGTCAGCGGCAGGCACTTATTTCAGGAGGAGCACTGCTTAATGAATTTTGGCAAGTCATCGAGGGCTGCATGGGTAGCCCTGACCCTTGATAGGTGCCCCGCCCCCTGGTCGCCATCTTGGGGCCAGGAGTCCTGCCCCCTAACCCCTGACCTTTGACACCAGAAGCCCTTCCCCTTGCCCCCTGAAAGTACTCCTTTTAGCAAAGGGGTTTGCTATCTTGGAACCAGAAAAATACCAAATGATATTCTAAAAATCAAACATGTACTACAACATTCAATAATTTCATTTCAAAAAATAATTTTGTCCTGATTTACATGTGTTTGTGTAGTATACATAGAGGTGATACTATAATAGCTTAAAATAAAGGCTTATTCTTGTATATTGTGGGAGGCTGTGGGTGGGAGGGGGGGTATAGGTTTGTGGGTATGTGGGGTGTGGGGGAGGGTATGTGTGTAGAATTGTGGGGGGTGTGGGTGTTTGCAACTTGGGTAGGTATGAGTTTTGTGGGGGGCTGTGAGTGTGCATGGGGAGAGTGGCCAGGGAGGGTTGTGGCTTGCATGAAGGAGGCGGGTTTGCCCACAGCCCACCACCCCCATGGCAGGCAGAGCCCCTGCCAGCGCTCCTGCAAACCCAGGCTCCATGCTCCTGCTGCTCCTGGCCTCGAGGCACCTACGCAGGCCTCATGCTCCAGCTCACTGCCACCTCCCCCCATTTGCCATAGCTGTCCTTCTTCTGCCACTTCCACATCCCACCCCGCCTACTCACTGCTCCAGCACCATGTCCCAGCTCCTTCTGCAGTCCCAGCAATGCAGCCAGGAACCAGGTGGGGAAATGGCTGTGGCAGGTGGGGGGAAGGGGTATCAAGCAGGTGCATGGAGTGCAGCAACAGCTGGGCAGCAGTGCAGGGCCCATGCTGGTGGCCCAGAGCAGGATGGCAGGAGCACAGGGTCTGGGCTGGCAGGGATCTAGGCTGCAGTGTGGCTCCTTCACCACCGCCTCTGTGCTGCCCAGCATGACAGCAGTAGCCATGTGGAAAAGCCACAGGGAAGCTCACAAGTGGTAGTGAAGGAGCCACACTGCAGCCTAGTGCGGCGCAGGCTCCCAGAGGCTGTACCAAAAACCAGTGGTGGCAAGGGGGAGGGGCTGCTTCCCCCCACACTGAGCAGCAGTTTTTGCCCAGCCACTGCTGCCGCTACCACTGCCACTCAGCCCTGATGGGGAGCCTGGAGCCAGTGCGAGGCCCAGGCTGAGCAGTGGCAGCGTGGGACAAACTGCTGCTCAGTGTAGGAGAAAAGTGGCTCTGCCTCTCCCACTGCTGTTACTCCCTGATTGAGCCACTCAGAGCCCATGTGGGGCTGCCTGTGCCTGCTCTGCACTGCACTGCCACCGCTGCCCCACAGGGCAGCCCAGAGACGGCGGTGAAGTGGTGGAAACAGAGGACAGCCCTGCGTAGGATCCAGGCAGCTGCGCCGGGAACTGCCGGCGTTGCAGAGAGGGGCTGCTTTTCTCCTACGCTGAGTAGCAGTTTGTTTTGTGCTGCTGCTGCTAAGCCCAGACGAGCGAGCGCAGGGCAAGTGGGGTTGGGACTGTGTGCACTGGTCCCTGCCTGTATCGCAGGACTGGGGCATGGGGGACTGGAGGTGAGTGGGCACACGGGAGCCAGCTACAGCTGGACAGGAGCACTGGGCCTGCATTAATGTCCCGGGGCCAGTGCTGGCAGGACCCAGAGTGGGGCACGAGGAGGACAGGGTCCCAGCCAGTTGGGGCTCTATGGAGCTGGGCCAGCTCCCCCTTCTCCCTGCTGGCACAGCCCAGCCCAGCTCCAGAGATCCCTGCCAGTACAGGCCCCGTGCTCCCACATGCCGCTTGATTCCTGCCCTGAGGAGTACAGTGTAGCCTCACTGTGGGACAGGGA